GTTATTTCTTATGAAGTCCCCCTGAAGGAGACTTTTCTATCATCTACATGTGTAGTTTTATTGATTCAGATTATAAAGATCATATGATCTAGGCAAGGGATGCATACATATCTACAATCAGAGGTGGCTTCAAATAAGGAAGGGAAAGAGGAAAAAGAATGTTTTAGTCAGAAAATTTCCTCTATCTTGTGATAAAGGACTGTGGAAAATATGGCAGATGATGCCTTGTGCTATTGCTCTCCAAACATGTGAAATTAAAATATTTATGTAAAAAAAATAACATCTCATTCCTTACCGAGAAAAATTGAGGCTGACAGGAGCAAAACGAATCACCCCCAACCCTCCGATGCGGTGACTAAGCTGGAGCCAGAATTCAGTCTTCTGAGTCCTCCTCCTGGGTTCCTCCTGCCACACCCATCTGCCTCTGAGCTTTGCTAGCAGAAGAGGATCATCTGATTGGCTGAACGTGGCCTTTAAGGGGTGTGACTCTATAATCTACTATCCAGACCAGGGCACCTGAGCGTGAAAGGGGCACTTTTGATAATTACATGGGGACAACAGAAGTAACCTGAGAATGTCACTCAAACTGAGATGTATGGGCACCTGGAACGCCACCTTTATATATTACAGTGCACGATCCTCATTTCCACATTAGACCGCATGAATTAGTACTTAAGCATTTGTGCTCTCTCTGCCCTTTCCAATCCACAGAGGAGATCTGTCTGGGATAAAGAACTGCTTTGAGCTCTTTTAAACATTTTAACTTGTGTTGTTCATGCACAAAAACTGAAGAAAACTTACTCCTTCACCACCGGCACACACACTTTGGACAGATCAAAGCCACTGAGTTTCTGAAGGTTGCTCAAGGAAGATCACCTGATCGGTATACTCCAAACCCTACAAGTCCATTGAAGAACCACAGCTCCTTCTTCTTCCTTGATGGCTAACAGGTCATCAAGTCCTACCCATGCTATCTCATGGATATTCAGCTAGTACATCCCCAACACCACCACCAACCATCTTGATCCAATCAACTTCCTCCTCAGTTGTCTCCTAAAACAGATTGGTTCCTCCTTTTCATTTCCTCCCATCTCTCTACACAATGCAGCCTGAGTGATCTTCCAAAACATTCCTGCTCTCAAAGCCTAGTGAAGCTTCCTTTCCCATCTTCCCAGCAATTTACAGTTATATGCATCAAGTAACAAACTCCTCTGGGCAAGGCACAAACATGATTTTTTGTTTTCTTGTTGTTAATCCTCATCAGGGGATATTTTTTTCCATCGATTTTTAGAGAGAGTGGAAAGAGAGAGGGAAAGACAGAGAAACATTGATGTGAGAGAAGCACATCGATTGGTTGCCTCCTGCACGAGCCCTGACCAGGGCCCAGGCCAATGCAACCAAGGTATGTGCCTTTGATTGGAACTGAACCCGGGACCCTTTGGTCTGCAGGTCAACACTCTATCCACTGAGCCAAACATGATTTTTTAAAAGAATGTCCATTCGTTTCTGGATCCAGTTTTAAAATCAATGGATCCTATATTTAATGGAAATATTGTTTTCAACCAATTACTATGATGGCTAGACCTTTTATTTTTTTTTTCTAAGAAAACAATGAGCAATTCATAAATTTCTAAAGTAAAAGCTATGTGGGTGTTATCTGGTTTATTGACTAGTTAAAATTCAATCAAACCTCCTGAATGTAAAAATATAGAAGTGAATTCCGAGAAGTACCTACACTGTCTTCCCTGTAGCTCAGGCGGGCCATGCAGTCCTGACCTAACAGATTCCCCATCCTGGGCCAGCCACGGTGAGGGCTGGAAGGGGGAGCTCTGTCCTAGCCCAGGGAAGCCAGAGCTGTCCTGGCTCTGTCTGGGAGGGCCCAGGGAGCTTTCTAGACTTGAGGTGACTTGCAAGCATCATTGCTGGGGTGGCTTTTATCACACTGTTCCTATGACTAAGCGTACATTCCTGAGGACAAGGGCAAAACGGGGTGCAGAAAAATATGTTGGATTCAAAGTTGTGTCCTCAATCTTAAATGAAAAGGAAAACATTCCTAAGGGGGGTGGGGGGAAGGATTTACCTACAAAATTCCACTTAACCATTGGGCAAAAGATACAACTGAACTAAATCTACCACTAACCATGTAGATTGCTCCAGGATAGTCTTTCCTTAGGAGAATTAGAGACATTAATTTAGGGCTAATAGATTAACCCTTTACTTGTCAAGTCCTTGGTCAAAGCACTTTTATAGTGTGTGAGTGTGTGTGTGTGTGTGTGTCAGTGTGTGCGTAGACTGGTGTGCAAGTCTGGAGGAGACCCAGCTACATTCAAATGAAATATTTCTTCCATATCTTTCTCTCCTCTCTCAGGAAAATGTCTACATTACTTTTGCAGAAAAAGAGGCTTACTCATTGGAGAGACTGATCCATCCTGCTCAAGTCTTGAAAAGTGGCTTGCAGTTTAGAGAGAAGAAAAGTAGGGGACAGGACCTGCGCTGCATTTCTGTACCTGCACCCCCAAATTACTGCCGTGATCCTCATGAAATGACCCTCCTTCCGTTGCTGTGGAACAGGTGTAGACTGACAGCACACTCCGAGTTCCAGTGTAGATTCTGCCATTTCCTAGTGTGTGACTCTAGCCAGGTGAGTTCCCTCATGGCTAAAATTGTCATGTCTCAAAGTTCTAGTCACTGTAGAAGACAGTTTCACGCCTCTTCACATCATGTGAAAGACCAAAGCTTATAGAGCCTTTGTGGCTTTCTCAAAGCCACAGGATTGTAGGAGATGGAACCAGGAATTAAATTTGACCCTCTGAGTTCGACACCCTTCCTCCCAGCATACTGTGCTTTAAATTCCTTGAGAAAGTGTCACTGAAGATAAGGGTAGTGCCATATTAAAGATCAGTTTCCCAAGAGATCCCAAAAGAAAAACAGTAACTGTAGAAAATCACTCATACCTAGGTTTTTTCATGTTATCTACGATTACCATTGCTACTGTTTGATACACCACCTATATGTATAAAACCTAAATGACATTATGACTGGTCGACTGGTTGCTAGGATGATGCAATGACCACCAGGGGGCAGACGCTCAATGCTGGAGCTGCCCCCTGGTGGTCAGTGCGCTCCCACAGCCAACCTCCCACGGCCAGCCAACCTCCTGCGGTTCCTCCCCTGGACTGGGCAACACGGCCTCGATGGGCCCCGATCGCCAGCCAGGCTGAGGAACCCCATCTGTGCATGAATTTGTGCACCGGGCCTCTAGTATTTTATAATGCTGAATACTAAGATCAAGATCATACATTTTCTATATAGGTTTTATGAATAAAGATAAAAAGCTTATAGACACTGAAGGAATTAGAGCATGTTATAGGATGAATACAAAGACTTAGTTCTCAATTTCTTTCCACACATTTTCTCTTTAGAATTTCGTGACCTACAGAATACTCAATCTAAACAACAGACCTGAAACAGTCATATGAAAGTGAAAATGTTTTAATAATGTCAACAACTGTGCCTCACAGCATTACTGACTTGAACAGAGCGGGATAAAGTCTCTCCAAAAGATGCGAATGATTTTTTTTTTAAAGCACAAAACAAGGTCCTTAAATATCTTAGCCACAGATGCCAATAAAACTGAATTTATGTCTCCGTTAACTTAATAATGAAAAAGTCAGCAATGGAAGTGTAGATAAACTTCCCTTTGTCCCTCTTTTCCCGAGAAACTTTCAAATGTTGAAAATCAATTCCTTTTGTCCTCTTAATATTCATCTGCTACACATTAAATAGAAATTCTGGGCACCGAGTGATTCCCACAGGGTCTTTCATCTACAGAGAGGCCTGGTACAAATTAAGTTCTTACTCTCCCTCCCAAATTATAGATATGTACTCTGGTAGACCATCGATTTATCAGCTCATGGTTGTGCGAGTTCAGTTAATTGTCCTTTATGAACAGATACTTTGGGGTTGGCCATTGTGGTGCTGTATCAATTCAGGCTGTGTGTGTGTGTGTGTGTGTGTGTGTGTGTGTTTTAATATCCTGGAACAATACAAAATAACATTGCCCCTGTCAGTGGTGTCACCTAATAAAATGTTCATAATAGTTATTAGAAATAATGTGGAAAAACAGACTGTGCAGAAAATCTCTTAGAAATGTTTAATTATTGCAAACATGGTTTTAGCACTGGGTTTAGGACCAGTCGTTAAGGAAATGACTTTGATCCCAGGCATGTCATGTGTGTTTGGAGAGCAGCTGACACAGGGTATCGCTGTTAAATCCCTGCCTTTAGAAGGAAGCCTCGTGCATATGCTGTCACACACAGCTGAGTTTCGAGTCTCCAAATGGTGCTAGGAAGTTATAAGAATTTCACTTCAATCTGTTACCTCGCAAATATATTAAAAATTTCCTTTGGCGGAGTTGTTCTTTCAGGTCTCTAAATAAAGACAAAACTTGATCAGCGTTCAACCAATTCCACACGTGCCAGAACTCCCCAAATTATTCTAATTTTCACCCCAAAGATTTGTTGGTCTCAATCCAATAGCTGCTTTGATTTGTGATCTCCTGGATCACAACTGAGCACTCTAGAAAGAAGTCTTACCATTTGCAACAGCCTGGATGGACCTGGAGAGCTTTATGCTGAGCACAAGAAGCCAGTCAGAGAAAGATAAATATCACATGACCTCACTCATTTGTGGAATATAACGAACAACAGAAACTGATGAACAAAAATAGATCCAGAGACGTAGAAGCATCGAACAGACAGTCAAACTTCACAGGGAAGGCAGGGGAGGGGTGGGGGTGGGGGGTAAGAGATCAACCAAAGGACTTGAATCCGTGCATATAAGCGTAGCCAATGGACACAGACAGCACGGGGGTCAGGGCATGGGCTGGGGGGCGGGAGTGGGCGGGGAGAGGTCAATGGGGGAAAAGGGAGACATATGTAACACTTTCAACAATAAAGAATTTAAATAAACAAAAACCGGAGACCCTGTCCGCCCCTCACCTCGCTGGAGTCCTCCTGCTGATTGATGACGGCCAGCGCGTCCTCCGCCGCCTGCCGCTTGGCCTCGGCCACCGTGCGCTCCATCTTGGCCCGCTCGGTGGTGATCATGTCGTGGGCTTTGCGCTCGGCCTCGGACACGGCCTTCTGCAGCTCGGTCATGGCCTGGCGCTTCACCTCGTTGACGGCCTCCTCTGCACGCCCGCGGGCCACATGGGACAAGAGAACATTCCTCCGTTAGCTCGGGGCTCAGGGTGCGGGCGCTGTCAAACGGGGTTCTATAGGACCCGCGGGACTGTCGCCCCACGGCTGGGGTGGCGTTTCTGGCTACCTACCCACACAGCAGATGCCTGAAATTCCTTAGGAAAGCAAAGGGTGGGACTTTGGCTTGCATTTCTAGGAATATATTTTATTTTTAAATATACTTTTTATTGATTTAAGAAAGGAAGGGAGAGGGAGAGAGAGAGAAACATCAATGATGAGAGAGAATCATGGATTGGCTGCCCCCTGCGCGCTTCCTACTGGGGATGGAGCTGGCAGCCTGGACATGGACCCTTGAATCCTCGGGGCGATGCTCTATCCACTGAGCCACACCAGCTAGGGCTGGGAATATTTTGTAAACTACTTCTATCATTACTACAGCTTTCCTGGCACCGCTGGTACCTCCAGAAAGGATTGTGAGACCAGGCTAAGTATTTAAAGGACAAAACAACCAGGAGAAACCTGTCCAGATAATTCACAAACATAAAGGCGGCCTGCCACCATGCTATCGGCCGGCGATTTCAACCGGTGTGCCCTAAGGATTGTTAAGACATGCAAGACCTATTTAGTCAGGGGCGCTGGCCTCTTTTCCGTTAGATTGCCAAGTAAAACTTTTTAAAATGACAACAGCTAACACAATAGTCACGGGTGTGAATGAATCAACATTATGCCTATTTTTTTCTCAGAATTTAGTCATTAGTTTATGTGTGCCACGATATGAAAAAAGTTGAAAATCACTGCCATACGTGACTACAAACATAGAAAAGTACATGGTAAAGTTTTCAGAAAGAAGAAAGGAAATACATTTTATACACACACATATTTAAGGGCAACCAACTGTTTTAGTGGTAAAAAAAAATAAAGCACAATAGTAAAAAGGTAATTCGTATAGCAATTAAGTTAGTGCAGACCTTTTAAAGAAAATCGATGATAAAACAGACAGATGATTCAGCTTTTCTTTTTCTTAAATCATTTCCCGAGTAATAGGGATATGTACCTTTATAGACTAAATGACAGAGATTTTCGAAAATCATTTTCTCACTTACAAATTTTAGCCTGTTGTCTATCCAGTTAATCCAATAACTGCACAGTTTCACATAACCAACTGTTGCTCTGGACAAACAGAACGGAATCATATCACAGGCCAGAACAATCAGGCCTGCCCACAAACCTCAAGGTGTCCTGTTAGCTTTTTTATTTTAGCTGTGGAACGTGTGCAAAGATTTGGCTAATGTACAACATAAGATTGACAACTAAAACAAGTAATTTCCATTTAAAAAATTAACTGTTCTAATTAACAAGGGAAAATATCCTCCCTCTGAATTAGTTTATCTAATTTTCATCTTTATTCAAAGCAAAATGACAATGATTAATTGAAAATTTAATAAGCAGTAATTATTAACTTGGCAAACCTAGTACCAATTAACACTCTATTAAAACTAATTATGACATGTTTCAAGTGCTTGCACTTAATTGTTTCACCCACTTAAAACGCACCTTAATTAAATGTTCTGTTTAATTAAAAACATAGATTCCTAATAAAAATGTTTTACTGTAGATTAAAAATGTAAGCGATGCAAATACTCCTCTGGTTCCTTAAATGTTTATGGTTTATTTCACACATCTACGGTCCGTGACTTGAGGATCATCAAGAGCCCTCCACTGGTAATTAGCTGCCATGACTTCTGTAGCCTTCCTCATTTTAGCAGCATTATTCCTGAAGTTCATTCATTTGTAATTACTGTCTGATGGGTTTTATAAACTCAAATATAAGGGGAAAGAGCCAGGCTGTAAATATCACGTAAAATACCGTAAGCTGTTATTGGTTGCTTTAAGATATGCAGTTAAACTCTGAATGGCGGAGCTTGCAGCACCTTCTTCAGGAACAGACAGAAAAAATGCCTTTATTACACGATCATAAATGACTTGGGGCACCAGGGAAGTGCTGCCCTTCTAACTATACAGCCAGGGTCTAATTTAGCTTGAATATTCAGAGCGAATTAAAATTCTATCTAAGTGGTAATACAGGACAATAATTTTTGCTTACCATCCAAGCTGTAGCTTGACTAATTGTATATGCAAATCAGGCAATTTGTATTTAAATTATGCATCCCTATTCTAATCCCACAGGCATATACAGATCAGCAAAGAGAATTGGTAGGACATTTTCAAGGTGCTTGAATATTTATTACCAATGGGCAAACATTCGCTGATCAGTTGAAAAGATATATATATATGAAAACATTCAGTTGCAATGTAAGAACCATCTTTATGTTAGATTTGTTCCAATTTTATTAAAGACCTTTTGTAATTTTAGAGTATGTTTTGTTTCCTTTGCTTTTAAAAATACTACTTGAGGGGAAAATTGATGGGACCTTCAGCATTTGTTAACATTCCAATACTTTAAAATGTATACTGTTATATTATACAGTATTATTGAGCAACATGAAAATTTTGAATAAAGTCTGTAGATTAAATAATAGTGATGTAACAATGGCCTGTTCTCAGTTTGGTAACCGTATTGTGGTTACATAAGAGACTGTCCTGTTAGGAAATTAACATATTGGGAAAATTACACCTGCAAGTTACTTTCAAATGTTTGGGGGGGGGGGGGATAATAGAATGCATAACAGAAAAAGGAAGGGAGGGAAGAGAGGAAAAGAGAGAGAAAATATATTAAAGCAAATACAGTAATAGAGAAAACCGGGTGAAAGATTTAAGAGAACTTTTTAATAATAATTCTTAGAACTCTCTGCACGTTTGATATCGTTTCAAAATAAAATGGTGGAAGCTATTACATGATGTGCCTTTAAGTACAAGATACCCTTTTTGCGATTACAATTTCCTGTGAAAAAGGACTCAGGAATATGTGGATGTGGTTATATTTCCACTAATTTTGTTACACTACATTGTGGTTATACTACATTGACTTTTGAGAGCTCCACCCTGGATATTTTTCAAATGCTTTCAACTTTATTTTATTTCTTATCAACTGTCACAAAGGTAACGTATACTATTTTCATTGCAAAGACACACTTTATAGGTTTTTCTCTAAAAAAAAAAGTAATTTGCCCACAGCAAATTTCAGAATCCTGGAGAAAGCTTTCAAATTGTGACAGGCTGAGGGCAGATGCCACTTCTGTGTTTTCATTACGAGGGATGCCGTGACACTGCTAACACTAGACACGCTTTTTAAGGCGCCTATGGAGATAAAGATTATAAGCAGTTATTCGAGATTTCAAGACGAAACAGTCATCTATACTTTGGGAACTGAATACACTCCTTAACATTTAGCATCAATCCATAGAAACTACTTGTGAACAATTCCTATGCATATTAGAGAGACCATATTAGATTGAAGATCTAATATACATGATAGGCATATCTAAAAAATACCCCAAACATTTACTTAATAATGTTTAACTCTTCTTAGAGCAGGCACAGACACAATAGACAGAGGCGTTCATCTTCCTCTACACTTGAAGTCTTCACAACGTAAATTATACCCGGAATTGGTTATAGAAACCCACAAAACAGACAATAAGTAATACTGAACTCAGTAGATGACAACATGTCTACCAAAAAACTGATTAAGTGGACAATACATAGTGCAGTTATTGTCTTTTTGTTAAAACAATCACTTGGTTGTTATATAATTAACAAATTATGAAATTTACTCATTTAAAGTTTATAATTCAATATTTTTCGTATACTCAGTGCTACTATCACTACAATTAATTTTTAGTAGTATGTATAATGCAATTCTGAATCTGCTTCCAACTGCTTACTACTTATGGTAGGACTTCCTTTGTGCACAGCTATTCAAGTTGACTTTCCTACAAAGATGGTAGAGTCAGAAGAAGAAATCTGCTCTCACTTAAGAGCAGTCAAACAAAGAAGTGAGCACATAATAGCACAGAAGGAATTTGGATTACACAAGACTTTGCTGTCAATTTTTCTTTATGAGCTATCGAGGGTTTAATCTAAATAAGGCAGATGCAAAAACTCTCTCCCTCAAGTAAAAAGTCATCCTTCTGCCGTACAAACTAGGAATTGTTTGTGCCTCTTATTGGAATCAGTTGCACTGACAGCTTAAAAATGGGGGAGAAAAATGGCCAGAAGAAAGATGTAGCAATTCTTTTTCCAGATAGGTGGCAGCCAGCACATTTTAACAGCTTAGGAGTATCCCCTCACTATTGCTTACACTGAAAATCTTAGACGTGATGTTGTAAACCTGGGAAGACGAGGCAGCTGAGCAGAATATATAGCTGACCTTAATTTTAAGCTGGATGGGCCTATCTAGTTTGCATATTGGACATGCCAGAGAGTTTTCTGGTTCTCAATCTAAGTTACTAAGCCTAGAATACTATCGGATTTTAAACTCCGTATTGCTTTGAAAAAAAAACAGGTATTTCTTAGAAAATCTATAAAAAGCACTTGGCTAAGCGCCAAGGGAATCAAGTCAGAAAGTTGTACAGAGCTGCACACACATCTGAGTCAAATAAAAACTGAAAGAGGAAACTTTTATAAAAAACAAAAAAACAGGAAACCGTTCCCTTGCCTCTTGCTCCCTAGTTAGGGTTCCTAGCCCTACACTCACCTGGCCGCTTGCAGAAATAACAGTTTTCAGTTTCTCAGCTCAGAAAAGCTATTTTAACATTTGGAGTCATAGCAGCTCCAAGCCACACTATGTATTTGTCATGTCATCTTTAACTCTTGAAACAGGCTGATGCTTTATCTCCTGAGTTGTCTCTCTAAGATTTTTGCTCAACTTCTATAGTGTTGGTGTTCCACCAAGATTCTGCCAGATCTGAGCTGCGTTAAGCCCAATACGTCAATGAATCAGTAGGAACTTTAAATCTCATTCCAAGTGTAGGGCAATGCTCTTAAGGAAAATCAAAGGGAAAAGAAAAATGGTAGGAGTTTAGCAACTTTGTCATTTAACTTAAAAAATATTTAGCTGTGATTACTGAATATTATTAATTAGCTCAGAAGATCAACTTTAAAAATTGATTATAATCGTAAGTAACATTTCTGAGTGTCTCCACAAGTCTGTTAGTTTTAATGTGGTCTTCATTAAAATTTAAAAATTCAGAGGAAAAGCCTAAAAGTACGCAATTTAAATGATAAAACACCAGGGTTTTTTTCATGAAGAAAACATTGCATGAAATGAAACCATGTTAGTCCCTGAAAAACAGGGGTTTATAATGAAAATATGGCCAGCCTCTCAATTACAGAGCCCCTAGCAAATGCTACTAAAATCAAAACTATCGCAGGCTCCAATCAGGCCTCGTTTAAGAATATTAATCAGGATTTTTACATTTTGTTTTGTTGGGGGGTGTTTTGCATGGTTTTGTGGTGGTGGTGGTTGTTAGCAGTAAAGTCCTTTCTTGTCATTCTTCACATCGCTGCATTTAACAACTGCACACAGCTGCCAGAACACTAGACTCGTGTTTTTAAACAATTCTTACCAGCTTTCTTCCAGATCTCCTCTGGCACATATCCAGAAGCAGGCCTGTGAAGGAATTCCCGATGTGCATCTATAAAAAGGATAAAAAGCAGTGGAGAGAGGAGGAAAGCACATGAGCACCATTATGTCATTACAAGGAGGAGACGTTAGCTATGCCCATTCTATTGGCTTCTTTACAAAAACAGCTTTAAAAGGCTAAGCATTTCACTTCTAGAAAATAAACAAAAATAGCAAGACCAGTCATCGGGGCTGGGTCTTGGCCTAAATGCCTTGTATGCTTAAAGCCGAAGCGATTTGAGTGATTTCATTCTACAATGTGTTTGGAAACACTGCTCCCAGTGTGGACCACTACAGGAATTTCCATGGGTATATTTTATTTACAGAAAACAAATTGCATTGGTAGTTTTTCTTTCAAGAGTCAAATGGGGAGTTAAAAAAATAAAATGTTAGGATAATAAAATTTTCACCCAGCTCCGACTCTACCACCTTCCCATAAATAGTGAGCCTTACTGTGTGGCTAACCAGTTCTCACACTCAATTACTTCTTGTCAGCCGATTTCTCAACAGAAACTTTGCAGGCCAGAAGGAAGTGGCAAGAAATATTCAAAGTGATGAAAAGCAACCAAAATTACTCTACCTAGCAGAGCTATCACTTAGAATTGAAGTTAAGATAAAGAGATTCCCAGGCAAGAAAAGCTAAAGGAGTTCATCGCCACCAAACCATATATTTAATATTAAAATATTAAAGCATCTTCTTTAAGAAGAAAAAAAAGAATATATGAACAATGAAAATAAAATGG